ACAAAGCTGGAGTATCACACTTCCTGATTTCAAACTATATTACAAAGCTATAGTCATTGAAATGGTATAGTATTAGCATAAAAACAGACACATAGATGAATGGAACAGAATAGACAGCCCAGAAATAAACCCACACCTATATGGTCAACTAATCTATGACAAAGGAGCCAAGAATATACAATGTCTGGGTTTCATATGAGCCAACCCCCTCTTCCCACTTTTTGCAATTTTTCACTTCCTTTATTCTGAGACCCTGCTCATCCTATGCCCTCCTCTTCTCCTTAAAACATTGGGTCACCTCTGTACAAATCAAAGTTGAATTCAGTTCGCACTGCACCCTTTACCCTGTTGCAATAGTTATTACTGATCAAACTCTGTCCTTACCAACTTAGTGTCCAGCTTTGTTTGTCTTTAACAATGTACATTTTCAGTGCTTATTAGAAATCATTTATGGAAATATGAAATGGATATGTTTTTCACTTTGTTAACTCGTGAAGTTCTGTGTATGATCTCATGCATCTATTCATTGGATTCCCTGCTTCTGGAGAGGGTCAGGTATTTGATAAGACAACATCATTGCTCAGCTGTAACAATTCAACTAGGGGTTTTTGACATTCTTGAAAGATAAACATTTGTCTTTTATTCTTATCTATGGTGGATTTTTTTTCTCTGCAGGAGTTTAAAGTTTTTATGTAGTCTTTTCCGATATGTTTATACTATAAAAGAAAGGGTTTTCCAGAATTCCGAACTCTCCCTTTCATGGAAGTAGTACCTGGCAAAGTGAAATTAAGTCTTATTACAAGCTTGTTCCACCCTTGACCCCTGCCCCCTGTAATTCACTCTCTACATAGCAACTAGATTCTTTTTCTATAGTGCAAAGCTGATGATATTACTCACCTTCTTAAAATCCTTAAATTATTTCCTACTACTCCTAAGAAAAAATCCAAAGTCCTCAATCTGCATATAAGGCATATTCTCTCCATTTTGCTCACCACTGCTATTTTCTGTTCCTGGAACACACCAATCCCTGCCCCACCTCCAGGCCCTGCACCAGCTGTCATCTACTTGAAATGCTATTTCCCTTTACATACTTCAGGTCTCAACTCCAGTGTCACCTTCCCAGAGAGGCCTTGCCTGAAAAGACCTGTCACTCCCTTTTCCCATTATAGTATTATCTCCAAAAGACTTATCACAATCTGAAATTACCTTAATTATTTGCATATTTGTAAAATAGTCTTGAGAGCAGGAATCTTGTGGTGGTGTGCTGCCAAATATTTAGCAACAGGTTTTCAAAAAAGAAAAGCTCTGATGGTAGCATTTGCCAATGTCCGTGGTATAGATAATACCATAGCTCATTTCAAGCTACAATGTGACATTAACCAGCTTGCAAACTTTCCTGAAACTTTAACAATCAACTTTTACAAGCCAGTGCAGGCCAGCTCCCGCCCAGCACAAGAACCTTGTCTGGCTTGGTTACTGCTGCAAATAAACAGAACAACGGCAGGCATAGAGGAAGAGCGCAGTCCATGCTGGCTGAATGTTGAATTGGGATAAAATAATTCTCCATTCTACTCTACCAAATATAGATTGTAGCTAATGGAGTCCTTCGTGGTGTTCTAACTGCCAAACTGCACACAGGGTATCTAAAATTTGCAGAGAATTACTCTGAAAACAACTTGTTGAATGGTCACCAAAATAGGTTCCTAAATGAAGGAACACTCCTGCCTCCTAACGAAGAGTCTCTGTGTGTCTAACCAGCTTCTTTTCGAATCCTGAGAGGCTAAATGATTTCAGTTAGAAAGAGCAGAGAGCTGCTCAAGAGAGAACAAACAAAGAGATCTGGGAAGGTTGTAGAAGGGACCAGAGAAGAAATAGTTCAGGCCGTGCTTTAGTAGAGTTTGAACTTTGAGGGGTGAAGAGATCGAAGGACGAGAATGGAGAGCAGGGACAACTGCTGTCCTATCGGTGACAACAAAAGTGAGGCAAGCAAAGAGGATTTTTAAAAGTTTTGCTGGGAGTCACAAATGGACTTCCCCATCGACACGTCTGTAAAAGCTTTTGTAAAGGTTTAAAATGCTTTTCAGGGCCGGCCCCGTGGCTTGGTGGTTAAGTGCGCACGCTCCGATGCTGGTGGCCCGGGTTCGGATCCTGGGCGCGCACCGAGGCATCACTTCTCCGTCCATCCTGAGGCCGAGTCCCACATACAGCAACTAGAAGGATGTGCAGCTATGACATACAACTATCTACTGGGGCTTTGGAGGGAAAAAATAAATAAATAAAATCTTTAAAAAAATAAAATAAAATGCTTTTCAATGCTTTTATTGGATGCTGGACTGTGCTTCTTTTGATGTGACATCATGTTAAGTCTGGTCACAAGACAGCAGTCTTACTTGTGTTACCCAGACCTGTAGTCCCCACAGCCATGTGGCCATGAGCTACAAGGGCCTGCAACACAAGGTTGGGGTGAAGTCCAAAGCCATGTATGTGGTCAAAGGACCTTATCCATCTATAGCAGTACCAGCAGGCCCTAACTCTCTGAACCAAGGAGTGCCTGTCTAGGGCTAAGGAGTCTGACTTCTTGAAGTTTCCCAGAATAAGTGAGGAGGCAGTCCCTGATCTATGGGTAAGGGCCCTATACTGGTCCCATCTGTATTTACTGAGTCTTTAATACTTCTGTAGCAAAATTCCCCCTTTTTTGTTTTCTTGGACTATATACTCACAACTCCTATTATTTCTACAACCATTAAACTTTCTAACCAATAAATGTCTTGAAACATTTTTAGAGATATTTTTATTAAACTTATAAATATAGTCATTAGAATATATAAACTTTTGACTGATTAATATGTAAACATTTTAGTTTAACTGGTTTAATAGCCTGTTTTAGGGCAAAAGAGGAGGAGGAGGAAGAAAAGAAAAAGAAGAAGAGATGGAGGGGGTGGAGGAGGAGAAGGAGGAAGAGGAGGAAGAGGAAGAGAACTAGGTGAAAGTAGAAGCTAATCTCCCAGCTGGTATCTTCCCCGTTAATGGCCTACCTCTCAGAGGGTGGGCCACAGACCAGTTGCATCAGATTCACTCAGCGTACTTGTTAAAAATACAGGTGAACTGGGCCGGCCCCGTGGCGTTGTGGTTAAGTTCACATGCTCTGCTTTGGCTGCCTGGGGTCGTGGGTTTGGACCCACACACGGCTCATCAAGCCATGCTTGGCGTCCCACATACAAAATGGAGGAAGATTGGCATGGATGTTAGCTCAGGGACAATCTTCCTCAAGCAAAGAGGAAGACTGGCAACAGATGTTAGCTCAGGGACACTCTTCCTCACCAAAAAAAAAAAAAAAAATATATATATATATATATACAGGTGATGGGCCCATATACAGAATCAATTTCCAGGTGGAGTCCAGGAATCTTCACATTATCAAATGATCCTAGGAATTCTGATATGCACACAAATTTGAGAACTACATCCAAAGGAAGGCTGACTGATTAGGGTGCTATCATTTATCTTTATTTTACAAATGAGCGGGCCACAGAAAGATGAATGATGTGGCTATAAAGAGGTGAGAACCCCCTGGCTTCAGGATGCTAAGCAGAGCAGAGCCTTATCGCCTCAGGAGACCAGTCCCGGTTGGGAGATGTTTCCTGGTCCACAAGCCCACCAAAAGTGGAGTGGCCTGTAGGATAAATACCACTAATACCCAGAGAAAATGTTCCAAGTGGTTGAGAACTAAGAGACTCAATTCCTAATTAAAGCTTGAAAGATAAACTATACCTTGGTCTGATCATCCAGAAATACGATTAATATTTTACTGCTGTCTTTGTCACCATTAGGTTCTTTTCTGAAATTTGTGAAATAATAAGTATAAAAGATCTTTGAAAAGCAAAAGTCACAAGATAAAAGCTGCCCTCATTTTTCCTTAAGAGGAGTGTGCAAAATACTTCCAAAGTAGTTAAAAAACTAGTGGTAGCAAAATCTCTGTTAAATTATAGGAAATACACGTTACAGTCTGCTCAGCCTATGACAACCCCCTTTCTCCAAAAACTACTCCTCCCCAGCAGCATGTATATATAACCCTGACTCCTGGCCACAACTGATTTAGCTCAAGTGTGAACAACTGACCAGACTGGCCAGTGAGAGCCCCTCTGTAGGGGTGCAGAGAGCGCATCAGTGTCTTCTGGTGGCTGGATCTAAGGATATATGTTTGGGATTTGTGGGGCGGCCATTTACACAGGCAAGCATGGCACTCTGGTCTCCAGGGAGAAAGGAGGAAAGGCTGAATGCTCAGAGAGGCAGAGGAGTGACTGTGGGCCCCAGATAGACATGAGGAGGATACAGCCTGGATCCCCATCAGCCTCCACTAGCTGGATCAGGCCCTCCCAGGGCCCAACCTCACTCCTGTCTGTTGCTGCAGCCAGCTCAGGTGGATTTCCATTTCTTGCGACTAAAAGAGAATGACTAATGCAGGTGGGCCAGCTGTTTAGCCCTCTGAGGAACCATGACCATGTGGGTCACCATATCTGCCCATTTCCCTCCTGAAACAGGGCACCATCCACGAGTCCAGGTCACCCCTAAATTTTATCCTCACCTGCACCTGGTTTGCCTAGCACTAGACTTACCCTACCCAAGGCCACCTCCCTGCATTTTTGTGCTCTGTTTTTCAATTATACCCCTGGCCAGTGTCAGGGTTCCAGCTGTTGTCATTCAACTGCTCAAGCTCCTTGTGTCATCCATTTCTTTTGCATCCTCTTGCAACAATGCCCAGCAAGATCCAAGCCCTGCAGGCGATGCAAACCATGCTATTGACTACCTGGAAGCCTGGAAGCATTTATTTGGCCTCTTTCCCTACCCAAATTTGCCAAATAATGGGAAAACAGAACCTCAGGAAAACTCATTAAGTAAATAGAAATCCTTGGCTAAAACCTTAACATGAGGGGACCCAGGGTCTGTCTTTCCCCACCTCCCTCAACCTCATCCTCCCTACAGAGACTCCTGGGCCGTACCTGGGCTATAAATGGCGCCACCATTGCACCAATGCGACACAGGGAGCCACTGGTCCCCATCCCCAAAGAGCGCATCGTCGTGGGGTAGACCTGGAGGGAGGAACACAGAAAGCATCAATTCGCTTAGGCCTCTTCTTTCCCTGAGTCCTCTGCCCTTCCCTCCCCAGGTCGGGCTTTGGTATATATATTAAATACCAAATATTCTATATAGAAACGTAGGATATAGAATAGAAGACGTTCATTTTCTCAGGTACACAACTGCGAATTTTTTAAATAAATATCAGAAAATAAACACTTAGAAATTATCCTTAAAGTGAGCAAATTCTAAAATATGTGTTTAATTAAATATTCTCATATAATTTTAGAAAGGTAAGCTCTGGAGTCAGAGGATTTCTGCTTTAGACTATAAACATATAAAGGTGGTTCTACTGAATGGAAAGAAAATACTCCCCAAATAATAACAATCTAATGAAACCTTTAATACAGACATAGTGAAAAGCATTGGCCGGAGTGCCAGAGACGTGCTACACCATGCACCATGTTCTTGTTGCAGAATCTTATGGCATATTCTACTCTCCTGTTGCAACGTTTTTATGTTTATAGTAAATCCTCATTAATCTGTACTTCATTGATTCAGAATTCTTGATAAGTAAACAAATATTATTTCATAAATGAGATCATAGGGAGACTATATGAAAGAACTGTTTTTCAAAATGTTGGAAAATTTTCTCTTAATGCTATGTAATACAGATAAAACAGTTTTTATCAATTCACTAAAGCAAAGCACGTAGCCCCTTTACTTGGCCACATCTTGTGAGCCACCATCCGTCAAATGCAAAAGCAAGATGCTTTCCTGCCTCAGAGGACACTGCTGTATTTATAGGAGAAGGTCTAGGTGTGGAGTGTCTGGTGGGGAGGTTTTTTTCTTTTTCTGAGAAATGAGGCTGCTGGCTATAACTGAAAATAATGGATTCAGATACATGGTGATGCTTTTTTCTTTGTTTTGTTCATGTTTTGACAATTCTGGGAGATGAAAGACAATCATCTTCAAGTACACATCTTTGATTCTTTTAAAAACAATAAACAAGTATCAGGAAGAAAAAGACCTAGAAATGAATCTTTAAGTGAACACATTCCAAAATGTATGTTAAATTGACTATTCCAAATACAACTTTAGAAGCACATCATATTACACACAGATTTTTAGGTTCATAAATTCACAAAATTCTAGAATATTTTGTTAACAGAACCAAATGAAGTATTATGTATATGTCAAATATGTCATAATTTCCTATTTTTATCTGTGTGGTGGGAAAAGAATACTTTTCTCTGTGACTTTCATGGTTTTGTCATGTCATAGCTGTAATCTGAACAAACTTCCGCATTTCCTGGGATGAAGTTGGATGCAGCCTCATCAGTCCCTACAGCACTGCTTTCTCTAGCGTAATCGTGACAAAACCAGTTAAAATACTAAATTTCCTATTCAGACACTGTTATTTCTAGGAATATTAGTTCTTTAAAGTGGGGGTCTACGAGGAGATCCTCTAGCTCCCTCAGGGAGGTATTAATTCAATAAATTAAGAAAGAATAAATAAAAATGAAGAATATTCGAATTTAAGCTACATGCGGCAAATAACAGATGGAGGGGGATGTGATCTTTCAAAAGAATAAAGGAGAAAAATACATTCTAATTTCAAAAAGAGAAAGAAATAGGGAGTTTTACATTTTGACAGCAGCATGCAGCTACTGGACTCTATTTCTTCTGGAAGCATGATGCTAGGACAATGAGTTGATTTTTACCTACGTGCTGTTTAGTGAGAAAGGGAGAAGGCTCCATCTTTCTTCTCAGAGACCCTCTTTCACTAGACTCAATGGGGCCGGAGAAACTCCACGGCAAATAAACCTCCTCGTGTCATTTTGATGGGATGTTTTTAGAAAATCATCAAAAGTCAACAGAAGCCAAGGGTATGTTATCTGTGGACTGACACTCTCTCTAAGCAGCTCACCTCGTGTGCTGTGATGTAACCAATCCTTTCCCAAAACTAACCTCAGCAGTGTAAATGTAGATGGTGTTGAAGTTGGCTGCCACCAAAGCCCTCAGCATGAAGAGGAAGCCAATGAGGCCAGCACTAGGGAAGAGAAGCGAGGGAAGTTAGGAAAAGCAACGTGGAGGGCCTTCCAGGGCCCCGACCCAAGTGCATTACAGATGCCCACACACACCCCCAGATAACCAGGTCCCGGGGAGATGCTGCTTCTCAACTGGCCTGATTGTGGGGTCCTAAAGCAAATACCTGACTCAAACCTTCAATCCTACCCCCACCCTCTCCACTCCCCAACGTGTGCCATTCCAGCCTGGCCACCCAGATTAGCACACTTTCTGCCAACACCCCCCAAAAATGGCTCAGTTTGCAGAATGATGTATATTATCATTGAGGCCACTCTAGGGTCACAAATTCAGAGTGAAATAAACTTTCATGCCACAGATATGTTATCCATGTCACTAAACTATCTTGAGAGTGGTCTGGATAATTTGGTAAACAACCAGAGTCCTGATTCTCCAGGAAGCTTTGCATGAAGATCCTAAATATCTCAGTTGGTGAAGTGAGTGCACCAACACTGATTCCCACATCCTGTGATAACAGAAGGAGGGGCCGGGTCAGCGGCAAGAGGAACGTGGGAGTGGCAGGTACCAGGCAAGATGGCTTTGAGCAGCCCGTTCTCTACTCCCCTGGTGAAAGGGCCTCGCCCACGGAACACCGTGGGTCAAAAGACCCCATCTCAAAACCACTGCACCAAACTAGATTGTTTTGAAGCAACCAGAGAGAAAATACCTTGAAGTGCAAATATTGAGGAGAAGGAAGAATAAAGCTGTGCATCCCATGGTGATAGAAAGGCTCAGCCGTCTGCCCAGGAAATTAATGCCCAGGATATTTAAAGGATTCACTGGAAAGCAGATAACAAAGACACTTTCTGGAACCTTGAAAGCAAGTGGCATTTATCAACACTGGCATGGATTCCTCACTGTCATTTCAGAAAGAAGCAACTTCATCCAAACCTCATGTGTATTCCAGCCAAAACCCAGTCACACTGTCATCAGCTTCATGACTCCTTCAATATACTTTTCCCTCGTGGGTCCAAGAATGACAAGCACTGGTGTATATAAAGGATATTTTATGCCCAGGGTGCTTATTACATCATGTATGTCTATTGTAAATTGCCAACTTACTAGACCTATATTTTAAATGTTTTATACTGTTTTTCATCAAATCAAGGTGCCACTGATTTTCAAGTACCATTATTTTATGTCCACTAAAACAGAAAGTGCTGCAAATTGAAATCTAACAAGCCACTGTACCACACATCCCAAATTGAGATGTTAAAATGTGAAAAGAAAAAATGCATCTTAGAATTGATATAATACAGTAATTCAAAGCTCTACTCCTCCAGACCTCTCCTCCCCATGCCAATCCACATTGGAGACATGTCAGCAAGATTTGGGGACTTGTTCAGTTCTACCAGGTAGAAGCCATGTCTGTGACAGGGTCACGCTTCTCTGCTCTGATGCTCTGAGTTGCATGACCCTCAACAGGAAACAGAAGGACTCAATAGACAGAGAGACGCTTACGAGCAATTTCACCAATGGTGCTGATAATCATGGTCCGGTAGTCAGAGGGGGCAAACATGTGGCAGTGGCAGGGGCTCTGGCTTCCCTCTGGATCCCCCATGGTCACCACCACCTCGGACTCCGACTCAGACCGCGAACCACAGACCAGGTCCCGCTCCAGCAGCTCAGCGCTGGCCAGGATGACCCCGTAGTAGGCAAAGGAGATTCCCAGCCTGGAAGTGAGAACAGATCGACATTAGGAAAAGCTGTCACCAGGCCTGAAGGTGGGGTGGCACCATGAGAGGCGAGGAGAAACGGGGAGAGCATTCCAGGGGGAAGGCACAGTGCAGGGGAAGGGAAGGGAATGGAAAGCCAGGCTCACAGAGCAGGGAGAGGCTGGAGGGTGGCATCCACTGGAGGTGCGGTGGGAAATGGATTTGCAAGAAAGAGCAGGATAGGACTAGATGGTAGAGAGGACCCCACAGGCCCAGCAAAGGAAGTTTGGATTCGTTTTCTATTGCTGCTGTAAAAAAGTAGCACAAATTTAGCAGCTTAAAACAACACACATTGATTAGTTCACAGTTCTGGAGGTCAAAATTTCAGTGGTCTGGCTGATTTCTCTGCTCTTAGTCTCATAAGGCTGACATGAAAGTGTAGGCAGGGCCGCAGGCCTTTCTGTGGAGGAGAATCCCTTTCCGAGCTCATCCAGATGGTTGGCAAAATTCAGCTTCATGGGACTTAGAGCTCATCTCCATTTCCTTGCTGGCTGTTCACCAGTTATTCTCAGCTTCTACAGGCTTCTCTCATTCCTTGTCTTCAAAGCCAGCAACAGTAGATTGAGTCCTTCTCATGCTTTGAACCTCTCCTTCTGCTTCTTCTCATGTTTTCTTTTCTGCTCCGTATCTGTTTCCAGCTGGAGGAATTTCTCTACTTTTAGGGACTTGAGTTATTAGATTGGGCCCACCAGTCAAATCCAGGATAATCTCCCAATTTTAAGACCCATAACCATAATTACATCTACACAGTCCCTTCACATCAGCATCCACATTAGTGTTTGATTGAATCACCAGGAGTTGGGAATCTTGGGAGTCACCTTTAGAATCTGCCCATCACAAAGTGTATTTGCAGGCCATGAGGAGCCACAGAAGGTTTTCGCTTTTGTTTTGTATTTTCTTCTTGTCTATTTTCTGTTTAATAGATATTTTGCTGAGATATAAAAATAACGTATAAAAATGTTCATATATTAAAATCAAGAAAAAGAATAATATCAGGCTCCCAGAAGCCCCCCTGGTGCCCCTTTCAGTTTCGCAGAAATGGTTGTAAAAGCCAGTTGTAAAAGACATATGGGGACAGTCAGGGGAAGTCACACAAGTTCTGGGCACTGGATGATATTAACGTGGTGATTGTTCATCTTGTTGATGTGATTATAGGATTGGAGTCATCTAAGAAAATGAAGAAAATGTCTTCAAGTAGTTGAGACTCTTCGTGAAGTATCTGGGGATGAAATGTTATGAAGTCTGTGGCTTGCTTGAAAATACTTCAGCACAGGAAAAACATAGCTGAAGCAAATATGGGTGAATACTAACGATTGTCAGATCTGGGTGATGAGTAAATCAGAGTTCATCACGGTATCCTCTCTACTTTCACGTGTGTTTGGAAATTTTCATAACGAAATATTTAAAAAGAAAACAATCCTAAACACCTCCCCTTGCTATTAATGTAGCTTTCATTTTTTCATTTAATTTCCAAATATTAAGAGTAAAAAATTGAAAAGTCTCAAGAGGAGACATACCAACCTATTAATAGTGATTATATCTGGGAAAGACAGATAGACAACCACTTTCCTGAATTCAAACACTATGGATTAGTTTTGCCTGTTTTCTATCTTTATATATATGGAATCACATAATATGTATTCTGTGTGTCTGGCTTCCTTTGCTCATTATTACATTTGTAAGATTCAGCCATGTTGAGTGTAGAACACTAGTTTTCTTATTTTCGTTATTGTATAGCATTCCATTTTATGAATGTAACACAATTTATCCGTTACATTGTTAATGGGCATGTGGGTTGTTTGTAGTTTGGGGCTTTTACAAATAAAATAATGCTACAGACATTCATGTAAATGTCTTTTGGTAAACATGTATGCATTTCCATTGGATATAAACCTAGGAATGGAATTCCTGAGTCTTAGGATATGCATATTTTCAACTGTAAGGGATGTCTCTAAACAGTTTTCCAAAGTGGTTGTACTAATTTGAACTCTAATCAACAATGTATGAAAGTTCCAGTTACTTTACATCCTTCTCAACACTTAATATAGTCAGTTTTTTTAATTTTAGCCATTTGGGTGGATTTGTAATGATGTCTCATTTGGTTTTATTTATTTTATTTTTTTCCCCCAAAGCCCCAGTAGATAGTTGTATGTCATAGCTGCACATCCTTCTAGTTTCTGTATGTGGGACTCGGCCTCAGCATGTCCAGACAAGCGGTGAGTCGGTGCACGCCCGGGATCCGAACCCGGGCCGCCAGCAGCGGAACGTGCGCACTTAACCGCTAAGCCACGGGGCCGGCCCTCATTTGGTTTTAATTTGCGTTTCCCTGGTGACTTTAAGGTTGAACATGTGTTCATATGTTTATTTGATATACATTTTTGGTCAAGTGCCTGTTTAAGTCTCTTGCCTATTTCTCTACTGGGTTGTGTATGTTTTTCTTGTTGAAAATAATTACATATATATAATTTATTGGATATATATATTGGAAATTTCTTCTCCCATTTGGTGGCTTACCTTTCAGACTCATCATGATATCTCCTGACACAGAGTTCCTAATTTAATGTAGTCTAACTCGTCAATCTTTTCCTTTATAGTTAACACTTTTTGTGTCCTGTTTAGAAAATCTTTGCTTACTCAAGGTCATGGCTGCAGAGAAATGAAGCACAGAGAGGCCCACTAGAGTCTATTCCGTTGAATTTTGATTATTGGTGACTTCAAAGCATCAGTTTTTGTCACGTGGCGAGGGAAAAGACCAGGCTGCAAAATGTTAGAAAGTGCACTCACGTGAAAAATAAAAAACTGATTGTAGACAATTTCTTTCTCCTTCTTTTAAAAAAAAAATTTTTTTTTTTTTTTGAAATTTATTTATTTGTTGGGTGGGTGGGCGTGTGGTTGTTGGTGTTAGCGGAAAGATAAGACATTGCTGGAGTCTGCCTTGTGTTTTTCTCCCCAGTAGCAGTCAGAGTGGATTTACTTAAGCAGGCTTTCTCCAAATGCTTGTTTATTTAAAACTCATTTTGAAATAATTACATTCTTACCATATGACCCAGATCTGTAACGTGGTCCGTAAATATTTGGCATGCAATAGGTCTGCAAATCTTCCTCTTTTTTCCTGGGGTGGTGAAAAGGAAGAGGCAGAATAGACTTAGTGGTTTAAGGACAAGGAAAGGTCTCTAATATTTTAGATCATAGAAAACAAGAACAACGTGGTGGCAGATAACCACTCTGCTCCCACGAGTACACCTCCCTCAAACTCACAGATAATTGTTTTTAACACATTCATCTCAGCCAATCAGTCTTTGCACCCTTTTATTATCCTCCGCAAATACTAAAACTCATTGAATTTAAGATTCTAACATTTTCAACTCTTCCTCTTCTCACCAATGCTGGCGAGAGGTGGGGTGGAGTATGGAAAACAGGAGGACACATGAAAAGTAACCATAAAACTGGTGAGAGATTCTTTTAACATTAACATTAAAAGGGAAAACCTAGGGCCGGCCCCCTGGCTTAGCAGTTAAGTGCACGCGCTCCGCTGCTGGCGGCCCGGGGTTTGGATCCCGGGCGCGCACCGACGCACCGCTTCTCCGGCCATGCTGAGGCCGTGTCCCACATACAGCAACTAAAAGGATGTGCAACTGTGACATACAACTATCTACTGGGGCTTTGGGGGAAAAAATAAATAAGTAAAATTTTTTAAAAAAAGGGGAAACCTAATACTAAAAAAGAATATGAGGATTTCGTAAGAAAAAACTGGCATACATTTGAGAAGAGGATAGAATGTCCAATTTCTGTATGTCTCTTTAGGGTAATCAGCAAAAGTTCTTGCCCATAGTCAGTGCTTATCAAATACTTTTGGATAAAAATAAATAAGGATGGGTTATATGATTGGGCAGTAATGGATTTTGATGTAAACCTAGGAATGCTTCAGGGGCTGCTCAGTTGAAAACCAACTACTCTTTCCTCACAAATAGACCTGTGATCACAGGCCCCCTCTAGAGAGACCAGGAGTGTGGTCCTAGGTGTCCCGGATCTTGTCGTCACAGAAAGTTAGAGCTTAAGGGAATTTAGAGGTCTTTTGTTCCAGTGACTCTTAGGCTCAGCTCCTGGAGGTCATTGTGGGTGGAGTGGAGCAACCGACGCTCCACTTTCATCTGCTTTACATATTGGGGCTCTGGTTACTCATCTTTGGAAAACCTCTGATCCAGTCCTGTCCTCCCATTTCCCAACATAGGATATGTGATCCACAGAGGGTGAGTGACTTGCCCAAGATCACACAGCTGTTTGGAGGCAGAGCCAGCCTAGGGTCCAGGTCTCCCGAGCACCAGTCTTGAGTCTTGCCCATCTACCTAGCTGCCATGTCCCCTTCGGTTTAGATGTGACTATGGTCCCCTCACCTCCCCAAGTGTCACTGGAGATACAGAAAACTGAGTCTGTAGTGAATCACAATGAATCATAAATTTTATCCTAATAAATTCTGAACATTTGGCTACAATCCCAATGGGTGGACTCATTCACTTCATCCATTTTGTGGCCCTTCCTCAGACAGTTACCAAAGCCTTTCATCTCAGTGTCTTTGGAGTGAAGCCGCACACGCTCCACTGCTCCTAGCATCTTGTCGAGCCTCCTCCGCATGGCGTTCCTATGGCAGTCAATGTGGCCAAACCCACTGCGCTTTCCCACCTCTGCTCTTGGCTCACACCATTGCTCCTGCCTGCATTGGCCTCTTTCCTCCCCTGAGGCTGCCTCTCCTTTCCGTGTTCACTTTATGCCCCACTTACCCCTCAGTTGAGGGTGGCTCCGACTGCCCTGGCTCACGGTCACCTCTCTGCTCTGATCCTACGCACACTCTGCTGCCTGTGCCGCTCACCTGGTTCTGAGCATCTGGGCTGTTTTGTTACTGATTCTTTCCTATGTAAGTCTCATCTCACTAAGTGGGTTTAGAGACTTGAAGGCAGAGTGTACTGCTTGTAGCTCTGTATCCACAGCGCCTTGCTCAAAAGATGATTGAAGAGAAGGATAAGATCATTTATTTTATTTTATTTTTTTGGAGGAGGACTAGCCCTGAGCTAACATCCAATGCCAATCCTCCCCTTTTTTTCTTGAGGAAGATTGGCCCTGGGCTAACACCCAGGCCCATCTTCCTCCACTTTCTATAGGACAACGCCACAGCGTGGCTTAGCAAGCAGCGGGTCAGTGCGCGCCCGGGATCCGAACCCGCGAACCCCAGGCCACCTCAGCGGAGAACGTGCACTTAACCACTGCACCACCAGGCCGGCCCCCCGGACAAGATCATTTAATGGGCGTGATGGATGGAAGCTGCAAGCTGAAGGCAAGAGAAGGAAAGTGGGAGGAAGAAGGGAGGAGGAGAAAGGAGAAGGATGTAGGAGGATGGAGAATGTGGAGAGAGGATTGAGAATATAGAGGGGATGGAGGAGAGAGGGCAGTTGTTATGGGAATGGTGCCCCCCCCAAATTCATATGTTGAAGTCCTAACCCTCAGAATGTGACTGTATTTGAAGATAGGGCCTTTAAAGAGGTAATTAAGTTAAAATGAGGTCATCAGGTGGACTGAGATTCAACACAACTGATGTCCTTCATAAAAAGAGGAGATTAGGACACAGACACACACAGAGGGAAGATGATGTGAAGACACGATGAGAAGATGGGCAACTATAAGCCAAAGAAAGAAGCCTCAGAAGAAACCAACTCTGCAACACCTTGATCTCGGACTTCTAGCCTCCAGAATTGTGGGGAAATTTCGGTTGTTTACGCCACCCAATCTGTGGTACTTTGTTATAGCAGCCCAAGCAGACTGATATACAGCGGCAGAGGAAAGGTGGGGGAGGGAGGACGAGGATGAGAATGAGAATGAGGGATGGGAGACGGAAGAGGCAGGGTGGAGTAGGGAGGAAAGAGGGGAGGGAAAAGAGGAGGGAGGAGAGAACTGAAGCTCAGCGCTCTTCAGTCCTGGAGAGACTACTGAGTTCAATTAAAATATTCATGCCAAAAATGGTTGGAATTGGGCCCTCATGATTATACAGCTGTCCATGGTTTTGAGTTAATTGTCTCTGCTAAGAAACATTTTTTTTCTCTTTGCAACCAATTTCATTTTTTATACCATCGACAATCAAAATTTCATAGCCACTTAAAGATTATGTTCCAGTTTCTACAAAACTTAATAGCTTCCTTCATTTAATCATTGTTTCCTAGCAACTAATTAGTCCTCCCACCATGCTTGGCTCAATAAGATGTAATTGTCAGTATCTTGGTAGGAAGGTAGAAGAGCGCTGATACTGCCTAATAGAACCTTCCTGACCTCTGAACCACAAGAGCTTATTTCCTAAATCCAGAAAATAAATTAGAATAACAGAATTATCCTTAATCCTATGGAAGAGGCCTGGGTTTCTTGTTTTACAATTAGGTTTTGAGGCACATGTAATAATTAGGGGAAACACTCCACAGAGCGAAGTGAGAACACTTTTACCAAAATACAGTTGTGAGTGTGGGGGAGGTTTGGGATATTTAATCCTCATGATTTTTGCATTACTATTGGGCACGTTCTATCTCACACTCAAAATGTCTAGCGGCAGGCCAGGTGGCAGTGGGATTACAGTGCTTTTGTCATCAGAGGTGTCCTGGGAAACCAATCAAGAATGCCCGGAGTAGCCCACCTCTCGCTGGTGTGTAGGACGTGTAAGAACTGCACACTTGGACGTCACCTGTCCTGCCATGGCCACACGATCCTGAGAGAGTGAGATTTCTGTGGAGGAGGGCTGGGGAGAGCTGCTGCCTCTCTGAACCCATCTCAGAGACGGAGCAAGACCTGGGTCAACAGCAGGCTCTCCTGGGGCCCACCCGTGGTGTAGCGGTTAAGTGTGTGCGCTTCGCTGCTGGCGGCCCAGCTTCGGATCCCATGTGCGCACCGATGCACTGCTTGTCAAGCCATGCTGTGGCGGCGCCCCATATAAAGTGGGGGAAGATGGGCACGGATGTTAGCCCAGGGCCAGTCTTCCTCAGCAAAAAAGAGGAGGATTAGCATGGATGTTAGCTCAGGGCGGATCTTCCTCACCAAAAAAAAAAAAAAAAGAAAAATGTTTAATTTAGGGAAACTTAAGAACAATGTGAGGGGCCAGTCCTGTGGGTTATCGGTTAAGTGCACGCACTCCGCTGCTGGCGGCCCGGGTTCAGATCCCGGGTGCACACTGACACACTGCTTCTCCGGCCATGCTGAGGCCATGTCCCACGTACAGCAACTAGAAGGATGTGAAACTATGATGTACAACTATCTACTGGGGCTTTGGGGGAAAATAAATAAATAAATAAAATTATTTAAAAAAAAAGAACAATGTGAAACTAAAATACAAGACAAAAATGATTTGGAAGATGAGACTGGGGCAGATCAGAATTAACAGGTTTAAGGTTCTTGAATTGTTTGGAAGGCAGATAAAGATGCCAAATAATATTAACTATCGTAAGTACACATTTTCAGTATTTAAGGGCTACCTCTATAATAAAAGAAATCGAGCGTATAAGTTTCAAGCCAGTAGAAGGAAATACAGGAGGAAACAAGCAAACTGAATCAATCTAATAGAAGGAGAAAGGAGAAAGAACACTGAAAAGGAAAGACATGATTAAGAGAAAATATAAAATAAAATGACAGGCACAAGTCCAAATACGTCAGTAATCACAATACATGTAAATAGATCAAACTCATTATTAAAAGACACAGAATATCGGATGAAACAGTGAAAACAATAAACATCAGCTATATATTTATAAGAAATACATTTAAAGCAAAGCAATACAGAAAGGTTAAACATAAAGGGCTAGAAAAAAGATATACCAGGAAAATATTAACCAAAGCCAGTTTTGATATGTTAGTATGAGAGCAAATAGAATCCAATGCCCAAAGCAATATAGGAATAAAGAAATACTTCAAATAATAAGAAAAATCCACACACAGAATAAGTCAATCATATACTAGGATGCAACAAGATTCCTCAAAATATATGAATTAAACTGTCAGGCCTATAAGGAGAAATGAAAAAAACCATCATCTTATTGAAAAACTGTTAACTCAAGCAGGCAAAATCTAGAACAAGTATCACATATTTATTTGGCACAATTAACAATATTTATACTCATTGAGAACACACATTCTTTTTAAGTACACATGGAACATTAATAAAAAGTCACTATGCAGAGGACAAAAGAAAAGTCTCAGTAAATTCCAAATAATTGATAACATCCTCTGACAAAAATGCAACTAAATTAGAAACAAAGAATAAAAAAGATCATTAACAGATAACTCATTGGTTAAAGAGAAACTCATAGGAGCTACAAAATAGGAATAAAAATAAAATTACTCCATAACAAAACTTGCTGAATGTAGCTAAATGGTCTATTAAAAATCAAAAAGGCTGACAAGAAATGAGCTGAGGACTGAAGTCAAGAAGCTAGAAACTAGAAGAACATAAAAAGCCAAGGAAGAAAACAAAATATAAAGAGTAGAAATTAATGAGACCACCAAAAAATCAATAAAGAGAACAACAACCAAAAATTAATCTTGTTCTTGAAGTTTAATAAAATAGACAAACCTCTACTAGGATAGACCAAGAAAAAAGAAAGAAGGCACAAATAAATAACTTTAAAAATGGAAAAGGGGACATACTCACACAGTAGATTTTTAAAACTCACAAGAGAACACTAGGAACAATTTTATATCAATAAACTTGAGGGCTGGCCCTGTGGCTTAGCGGTTATGTGCGCGTGCTCTGCTACTGGCGGCCCGGGTTCAGATCCCGGGCACGCACCGACGCACTGCTTCTCCGGCCATGCTGAGGCCGCGTCCCACATACAGCAACTAGAAGGATGTGCAGCTATGACATACAGCTATCTACTGGGGCTTTGGGGGAAAAATAAAATAAAACAAAATAAAAAAAAATAAAATAAACTTGAAAACCTAGATGAACTGGACAATTTTGTAAAATATATACATAACTGAAATTGACTTAATCAAAAGTATTAAAAGTAAGTAGACTCTAACCTTTACATAAATTTAAAGTAGTTTTAAAAACTCTTCCTTCTAACACCCTCTAATTATCCGCCCCCGAGCACTCACCTCAAAATAAACATTAGGCGTAAACTGCTTTATAGGCAAGTTTACCAAACATTCAAAGAGGTTAATTCCTGTCATAGAAACTGTTGCCCAGATGGCAGGACAGGTGAGGAAGGCAGCGCTGGTGAAACTCTTCCAGGAGCCTGTGACTGACCTGCCTGCAGGTGGGTGAAGTGGGTGGTCTGGCTGGTGTGAGAAATGAATGCAGACTGACCTTGAGAGTCCTGGAATTTAAATGCCCAATTATATCTTAAAATTATTTTATAAGTTTGTTTTTGAAGTTTATAAATTTGTTATGAAGTTTATAGGTTTGATATCAAAATAAGACAAACCCTGTATAAGAAAATAAGTTATAAAACAATCTCTCACCTATAAACTGTGATACTAAATCATGTGACTAGCTCTACAAGGTAGGTGCTATTACTCCCATTTCATTGATGAGGAAAGTGAAGGTAGGTAACTTACCAGGACCACGTGGCTTGTGGTGTCCCGTCTGCTCTGCTCTTTTCTCTCCTCTCTCCAGGGGCGGGACTAGAGAGCTAATGTCCCCTTCCCTCTAGCTTCTACAAAGGGGATTTCTGAGCGGCCCTATGGGGGGAGAAGATCTCTCAACTGGGAACTCACCAGGATAGGCTCCACTAGCTTCCCCTCCGGCATGACCGAGCGGTTTATCTTGGCAATGCGCTCCAGTGTGGCCAGGGCAGCCTGAGTGTTCCCGGTGGAGACATTGAAGCGAGCAGATTCAGGAATAAACTGGGCACAGATGACAAAGAACATCAGAGTTGCAGCTGCTGTGGACCCCAGGGGTACGGCAATGATTGCTCCATATCCTACACCGCCCCAGTTTCCCGAGAAGGGAAAGGATGTAGCAAGTTTGAAGGCACACAATGTAGCAGGCATTCTCTTGCATTCGAAGTTGATTTGGAACAAAAAAGGTCACGTTCTCCTATCAGAGTCCCATCTTGGATGCCAGCGGGGTGACACTGAGCTTCGCACCAGTTCAACCCAACCTACTTGTTAATAAAATGAAATTCTTACATCCAGTTGGTGATAGCTGCTGCGCCAGGGCCCTGGTGCCTCTCCACTGCTCTGTCACCCCAGCCCCTCCCCAGGAACCCTGGGACCTCCTCATGTGGCAACATCCTAAAGGGTGACCGCGGCAGGGGCCTCCAGCACCCACAAGGTGGAGGAATCAGTGCTAGTTGTCAAGGCCCTCAACCCACGGATTGTTGAATACTCTGAACACCACACTCGGAAAACAGTACAGGCCTCCACGGAAGCTGGGACCTTGAGAACTGACTTGGACTGTCCGCTGCCCCTTCTGCCTCACACCCAATCAGGGCTGGTTGGTTCTTCCTCAGGAAAGCATCTCCCCCAGCAGCACTCTGCTCCCCATTCCCACAGCCAGCGGGCTGTTGAGGTCCTCCTCATCTCCCACCGAGATTATTCCAACACTTTCTAACTGCTTTTCTGGCCTTTTCCATCTTCCCCCATGCCCAGGCTCCACACAGCCACGTGCCAGCTTCCCAGCACATAACCCCTTCCATACCTCCAGCGCCCCTGGGCTTCGAGGCCCTTCCTAATCCGGTCACAGGCCTGTCTTCCCAGCCTGCCTCCCACTGCACCCCTCACTCCAGCCATTCCAGCCTACCTGCCGTCCACCAAACGGATTCTGCATTTTCACACCTTCACGACAGGGCTTGTGCATCAGTCCTGCCCAAAGGCCCTTTCCACACTCTCTGGCCATCCAAGGCAGTCTGTTCTATTCCACAAGGGCCAAATTCAACAGCGTAACCCCACTGGAATACATCACTCTCTCCTCAGAGCACCCACAGAACTTGAGCTATTCCAACACTTGTCCAGGTCGAGTTGGTACTGTTACTTTTTGCATTCCTGTCTATCTCTCGCTGATTGGCTAGAGCTCCTTAATGGGCAAAACCTGTGTCTTATGCATCTTTTTAGCCTTGGAACCTGGTGCTGAGCCTGGTATATACTCAACGCGAGTGTGATGAATTAAATGACAAGATCGTGATTCCAAATAATAATTTTTTAAAAAGTGATAGCATAGCTCCATAGCTAACACACATTGAACACCGTTCATGTTCCAGGCCCTATATGAAGAGAGTTTTACATGTAATCTTGTTTAATCCTCGTGTGAAATGAGTTGACAACGGTGACTCCATTTTGTACCCTGGACTCGATCTTAAAAAAAACATGAAACTGTGCTGACCTTGCTGACTTACCAAAAGGGAGTTATTCGCTGAGGAAGGACTTTCTGAAGGACTGTGCAAAAATATACTTTTTCTGGTAGCAACAAGATGTCCTTGAGTAAGCCAAGGAACTATAACATAAATTTACCCTCCGTAACAAACAACTGGGGTGATTGTTCTGGGCTCTCTTTTTTGCTAATAAAAACTCCTGACTTTTACTCCTCAAGGGGACATACTTCTGGCTGCTGCCAGAAACTGTGTTCCCTGAATTTTAATTCTAAGACCCCAAATAAACACTCTCCTTTTATTTTGCAATTGCTTCTTTTTCTAAGCTGATACTTGCAACAGCCCAACGAGATACACACTATTTGTTTGGCATAAAGATGTGGAATGACTTGCCCAGGATGGTGGAGCCAGGACTCTGGTCTAGGTGGTCTCATTCCAGAACTAATAGACCACATTGCCCCCCTGGAGGCAAACCCAGGCAAGATGGGACACTGGGCTAAAGCTACAAGGTGAAATTTAACTATTTGAAAGTAGAGTGATTCATTTAGATTTAAGAAAACCTATCAATCGCCCAATTACAGATTTCAGGCATCTAGGCTTGGAAACACCTCACATAGAACAGATCTTGGGGTTGTAGTTGATCCTAAGCCCAACAGCATCCAACTGTGGGGTGAAGCTGGCTAAGAAGCAAGGCAGTCTTAGACTACATCAACAGAGGCGGATGGTCTGCCCACAGGAAGCAACAGGCCTGCTAAGCCACTTGTCCCAGAGCACCTGGGGGCCTGTGTGTGAGCCTGAGCAGCAATTCACTGCAGAGAAGACACTGACAAACTGAGTTCATCCAGAAGAAAATAGGGCTCTGGGACGAGGTGCTGTGAGAAAGAGTTGAAGGTAATGGTATTGTTTAACTTAGAGAAAGGAAGCCTTGGTTGGGCTCAATTCTTAAATATTTAGAGGGATATCATGTTGAAGATAGACCTCTGGGTTTTCCAGACAGAAGTACTAAGATCTGCAGGTAAATTCATAAAGAGGCAAGTTCCACTCAACATAAGAAAGAACTTCCTCAGAACTAGGGCTGCCTAGAGCTGGAACATGCTGTAGCGTCTATAAAGTAGTCATATGCCTGAAGCTAGGAGAGTTCTGGCAGAGAGAAGGAATGCCTGCATTGGTTGAGGTTTGGAATAAATGACCACTAGGGACCTTTCTAAATTCTGAAATTCTTTGATTCCATAGGGTAGGTGACACACAAAAAAAACAGATCCAAGTTCCACTGAGCTGCCAACTCTGTCTTTGAACAATGAGCAGAATTCTACTGGAACCTAAGGAAGATAATGATTCTACACTTGAGCAGCTTATAGATTAGCAGGAGAGCAGGAAGACAAACCAGCAGTGGCCTGAGATGGTCCACAGTGGCCTGAGAACATGTAAAAGACATGAGTACTAAAGGTTAGAGAGGGGTCAGCTGAAATAGGGTCAAGTTGTCAGATAAAACTTCCAGGAATAAATGATAACAAGGCAGGCTAAAGGAGGTGAGGGACACAAGCTGATTGAGACAGATTTGGGGATAAAGGAAAGAGATGGAGGTGATTAAGATATCTGTCGGGCAAAAAGGCTACTGGGATAGCTGGAAGGACGGCAAGAGGGATGAGCCTCCTCACGAGCTTCTTCACCTTGAAGACCATGATGAGGATGATGCCAGGAATGGAGGCAATGCGGATGAGCCAACGCCACCCAATGGTGGGGATGACCACAGAGGCCAGGCCGATGATAAGCAGCGAGCCAGCAAGCCAGAAAACCTAGGGAGAGTAATGGAAGATTAAAATTCTTCCTATCAAATGTGCTCAACATCTCTTCTCTCGGGAGCCACCCTGTCTAACATTTTAGCATTATACAAGGGTGAGACGGGAGGGAGTCTGATGGAGGAGTGGAAGGTTCAGGTTCTGCTCCTAGCACTACCTCTAGGACCTGGAGGAATTGGGAAAGTCACTTCAGTTCTCTGCGGCTCAGACTGCCTGTCTATACATGGGAGACTCAGCTAGACAGGGGCCAGCAATGTCACCAAAGTTTTAAAAATTTGGGACCCAAGACATTGACATTTTTTTCTTGAATAAATAACATATTCACTGGTTCATAATTCAAAAGGCACAAAGGAGAACACTAAAAATATTCTCCTCTTTTCGTAGTGCCCTGCCATCCAGTTTCTCTTCTCAGAAGGAACAAATATTATGTTTCTTGTGTAGCCTTCCAAAGCTATTCTAAACATATTCAAGCTAATAAAGATATATTTTGTTCTTCTCTTCTTTTATCATAAATGGCACATAGTATAAATACTGCTGTACACTTTGCTTTTTGTACTGAAAAATATATCTTGGAGATCATTATATATCAACAAATAACATGGCAGCCAACTATGGCCAGGCACCACGAGTTGGGAATTAGAACAATTCCAAGTGTTAGCCTGAGCATTATTTCCCCATCAGAAGATGGAGAGTAAATGATAACTCCATTCCACCTTACAGAGACGGAGAGAAGATAATATAATAAGAGACCCTTTGGGGGATTAATTAAGAGGTGACTATTTCATCACCAAATAATTTTATTACAAAAAGACAAACAAGAGCCAGCCCTGATGGCCTAGTGGTTAAAGTTCAGCACGTTCCACTTCAGCAGCCCAGGCTCAATTCCTAGCCTCAGAACCACACCACTCGTCTGTCAGTAGCTGTGAGGAGGCAGTGGCTCACATAGAAGAACTAGAAGGACTTACAACTTCCATATACTACCATGCAACAGGGCTTTGGGGAAGAAAAAAAAAAAAAGAGGAAGATTGGCAACAGATGTTAGCTCAGGGCGAATCTTTCCCAGCCAAAAAAAAAAAAAAAAAAAGATTATTTCAGAAAGTGATAGGGGTTATGGGGAAAAAAAGCAGTAATGTGATGGCAAGTAACTTGAGTGATCAAGTTTGACATTTCTGAAGAGGCAGCAAACAAGAAGACCAGTGACAAGACCATTGCAGTAGATCAGGTAACAGGCGACATGGCATTGAAAAGGATTTTAGTAGTGAAATGGCAAAAAAAAAATTTTAATTGAGGGACTGCTCACATATTTTGGAGGTTAAGGTGACAGGGTTTGCTGATGGACACTGTGGTTGAGGGTCCATTAATAGAGGATGAATCAGTAGGGCTTGGTGATTGATAGAATGGGGGTGAAGGAGAGGGAGGGGTCCAGGATGGCTCTTGAGTTTGTGGCTCAGATGGCTGAGGGGACAGTGTTTGTTATTAACTGAGAGTGGAAACATGGAAATAAGAGGTTTCAGAGGAAGATAAAGAGATTAGTTCTACGCATGTTGTTTTTGAGAAGCCTGTAGGATATTCAAGTGACTAACAGGTAAGTGGCCATGGCTCTGAAGTTCAAGGAGACGCTCTTGATTGTAGATAAAGATTTTGGGGGTCATAGGCACATAGATAGTTAAAACCATTGGACTAAATTAGATGACCCAAGAAGACTTAGACAATAAGACTAGCAAGGAGAAAACATAACCAGGAAGTAGGCCATGGAATGAGTGGCAGGTGGAAGGGAAAATGTCCATAGATGAGTTTGAGTAGGACTGTGCCCATTAAATAATAAGTGTGAAATCCAACCGCTAAGTATTAGAAATGTGTGCATCCATCTTAACAAAGACCGGAAGAAGAAATCTAAGAGGAATGTAGAGTTATTCTGTGTTTGTTAGATTCTTTCCAATTTTTTTGTTGCCTAAATTTAGTATTGGAAAAATTAAAAATAAATTTAAAAATATTCTCCTACTGCTTTATTTATTGCCAAATATACAATGCTTCAGTGGAAAGGGTTGTCTCTTTCATGGGCCCTCTGAAAGGTCAGGGCTTTTGGATAATGATGGCATCAAAGACGGTAGAGGGGCACCTAGATTGATGTTGCTTCTAAGGCAAAACCAAAATCAGTGACCAGCAGGGGTCTGAGGAGGGCTTGGGCACATCCCAACCTTCTCACCTGGATAAATGGCTCAGCTGTGGGAGGAGGCAATTACGGCACGTTCCCACAGGCACGGGCGGATTATAGACTTGCAGACACTAGTATCCCTGCAAGGGAGGTGGGACACTCTAAAAGGGAGAGTAGCTGTGTCCCTCCCCTGAAGACTCAGTGGGGTGAAAGTTCATCTCATATGCATTCCTGGGCTTCTACTACTCCAGTGAAACCAGCCATGGCAATGTTTCCTGGTTATTGAGGAAGGGGTTACTGTGTTCCAAATGCTATTATTGGATGACAAAGTCCTGGCTCAGAAAACCTTGGAATTGGACCTCTGGTGTCAAGCACTCCCAACGCTCTTTCGTTGGTACTAAGCAATAGGCAGTGTGCTAATCAAACAATCAATGGGCAAGATGGAAAACCATGTACGTCATATCCTATAGGAACAGAAGACTGGGTAGAATTCCTATTTTACCTTACCTGAGACAAGGGGAGCATATAGCCTCGATATTTTGTAGGCAAAAATTCAGTCTTTATGATTAGCCTAAACAGCAAGGGGGGAAGACACAATAATTTCATTTTTACAAAACCAAATAACTTTTTTTTAACAATCATAATTTTTCTTGTCACAGAGGTAAAGAGTTAAAAAACATACACATTCATCATTCCGGTTCCTGCCAATATTTGGTCTTTGACCCTGGTTCCTGACACAGACCTCCTAAAACCCTTGGAATTTCCTGGGTGATAGGAGCATCTTTTGTTCTAATGAGGTGACTCTTCTTTTTTTTTTTTTTTTTTTTTTGGGTGAGGAAGATCTGACCTGAGCTAACATTTGATGCCAATCCTCCTCTTTTTTTTTTTTTTTTTTTTTGCTGAGGAAGGTTGGCCCTGAGCTAACATCCATGCCCATCTTCCTCCACTTTATATAGGACACCACCACAGCATGGCTTTGACAAGCAGTGCATTGGTGCGTGCCCGGGATCCGAACCTGGAAACCCCGGGTCACTGAAGTGGAGCGCGCACACTTAACTGCCTGTGCCACCGGGCCAGCCCCATAATGAGGTGACTCTTGGTGGGCTTCTAGATGGGGGCTGGTCACTAGAAAGATCAAGTCATGATTAGAAGCTTGGAACTTTCAGCCCTATTCCCCCATCCTCCAGAGGGAGGAGACAGCCTGGAAAATGAGTTAATAATCAATCATGCCTACGTGGTGAAGCCTCCATAAAAATCCCTAACATAGAAGGTTCAGAGAGCTTCCAGGTCGGTGAATGCATCTATGTGCCAGGAGGGTGGTGCACCCCAACTCCACAGGGACAGAAGCTCCTGTGCTTGGAGCCCTTCTGGACCTCACCCTATGTATCTCTTCATCTGGATATTCATTTGTTTCCTGTCAAGTACCCTTGTAATAAATAATCCTTTTGCAATAGTAAGTAAACTGTTTCCCTGGGTTCTGTCAGTCACTCTAGCAGATTCTCAAACCCAAGGAGGGATTCCTGGGAACTTTCAATTTGTAGCCAAGTCAGACTGAAGTTGTGGGTAACCTGAGGACCTGATACTTGTGAGTGGTGTCCAAAGTGAGGGACGGTCTTGTGGGAATTGTCCCTTAACCTGTGAGATCTGCACTAACTCTGGTTAGGGTCAGAACTGAATTGAATTGTAGGCCATCCAGGTGGTTTCAGAAAATTGGTTGGTGTGGGGAAAAACCCACACATCTGGTGTCGAAAGTGAAGTATTCTTTATTTATTGTTTTTGTGAGGAAGATCAGCCCTAAGCTAACATCTGTTGCCAATCCTCCTCGTTTTTGCTAAGGAAGATTGGTCCTGGGCTAACATCGGTACCCATCTGCCTCCACTTTATGTGGGATGCCGCCACAGCATGGCCTGACAAGCGGTGTGTCAGTGCACACCCAGGATTCCAACCTGCGAACCCTGGGCCACGGAAGCGGAGCGCGCACCCTACCGCTGTGCCACCAGGCCGGCCCCAGAAGTGAAGTCTTATTAAAAAAAAAGAAGTGAAGTATTGTCAGAAGTAGTGAGTGTGAGTGTGTAAAGGAAAACAGAAGAGAGTTTTTCCTAGATAATCATATATCAAAATATAATTAATAAATAAAATGAAATAAAAATACAGCTAATATCCACGTAAGAGAACAATAAGAAGTAAACTTACAACTACTCTTTTGTTCCCATTTTTATTCCCAAAGTTATTGAAAGTCAAAGTAATCTCTTCCCGAAGTTATCTCTTACCATTTAAGAGATATTAGCTTTATCTCTTTTGCCAAGAGAAATGTTGGCAAAATCTTTTGCTAAGCCTGATTCCCTTTTCTAAAACATACTTGGGAAATTAAAATACACCCAAGAGAAGGTAATTTCCCCAACTAATGACAGTCAAAGCACAGGTTTCTAATTAAGTACACATTAATTTTGTGAATAGAAGAATAAATGGAATCCTATCCCATCAGTGTTCTAATTGCTCTTCTCTGTTGCAGTTATTAACCAGAATTTGGGGGGTTTACCATATTTATTGGGCTGTCTGAGGGATGTTTTAAAATTCTATCTAACTTCTATTCCTCTATGGCTCCAAAGCTCAGAGTGATGCTTAACCTATGCCCCAGGGAAGAACGATGCTTTCCCTAACACATTAAGACAATAATTAGGTGCTTTGACATCTCCTAGTACATTCTAAGGGTAAGTTGCTCCAAGGCGCCCAGGAGAGAATAGCTTGAGGGGCCTTGTTAATGTAAGGGAGGCTCCCAAGTTGCTGAACATTTAGCATAACAACGTTCCCACCCATGCACAATAGCACAGTGCACACCCATCCCAGGGCAGAAGACTAGCAGTAGCACGTCTCTTTCAGCACGTCTCACCCTGCTTTGCAAATTCACTTTGACACAGTCTTTTTTTTTTTTTTTTTTTTTTTTT